CCAGGTTTTCTCAGTCCTCCGCTCCGCGTTATCTTTCACCTCACTATCCCACCTCTTACACGGCCTCGGCTCCTGAGAAGCGTCGGGGTGTTCTGATAGCTTTTAAACGCAATCTCCCCTTTGTCTGTTCTAGGCATATAGCGGACCCCACAGGCAGGTATCTGCTTCTGCAAGGCACCCTCTGGGACCAGGAGGTTACCTTTGTCTCTTACTACGCGCCTAACCGTTTCCAGCATAAATTCTTTTCGCATCTTTGCACCATTGTTTCTCGACACTCTAAGGGTCTTCTTCTTGTTATGGGGGATTCGAATGTTACCTTGGATTCCACATTGATAGGCGCTACACACGGGGAGCGACCCCCTCTCATGACTTGGTGCTAGAGGAACGTATGCGCTCTCTTTTACGGACGGCGGGGCTAGCGGACGTCTGGAGGGAACTTCATCCAACTGAACGCGACTTTACGTTCTATTCCAATCCTCATGACAGTTTTTGTAGAATTGATCATATATTCATGCAGGTCCAGCAGCTCCCCTCGGTCCGGCGGATAACTATTCCCTCCTCACCCTGGTCAGATCATGATCCCTTGGTACTCCTCCTTGCCCTTTCTGGGTCAGAACGGCACCCCTTTTCATTGGCGCATCAATGACTCTTTGCTGACCACTCAGGCTACCTGCCAACAAATAGAATTCTTTTTACGAACATACTTTGCGGAAAATTCGGGATCGGTCTCTTCAGCAGTGCCCCTTTGGGAAGCGCATAAGGCCACGATGCGGGGTCATGTTATACAGCTGGCTGCGGTCCGGAAGCGGGAGCGGGAACATCGACTCTTGGAGCTTCATTCTCTCCTGGCCTCTGCGGATGCGCGTTGGAAGTCATCTCCATCCGTGGCCCATAAACGCGCTCGGGACGCTCTGGCGACAGAATTGGACCTCCTCGCCTCTTCGGAGGCGGAACGGGCCCTGCGTTGGACCAGACATAAATTTTACTCCTGCGCTAATAAGCCCGGTCCCATGCTAGCCAGGAAACTCAATTCTGTGGGGAAACCCCATAAACCGATTCGACTTCGACTTTCCACAGGTGGCTGTACTTCTAATCCCCAGCAGATTGTTTCCCCGATTTTCGGACTTCCTTTCGCGCCTCTATGCTGCCCCAGATCCTTTCCCTGTGGCCCAGGCAGAGGCATTCTTTCAAGACCTCCATCTTCCTGGATTAACCGAGGCAGCACAGGCGGCCCTCAACGCTGGTGTCACCGTACCGGAAGTGCTCCAAGCGATCAAATCTTTACGGTCCACCGCGGCCCCAGGTCCTGACGGCTTCTCCGGTCTCTATTATAAAAAATTCTCAGCCCTATTGGCGCCCTTTTTAGCGGCCTATTTCAATGAGTTACGACAGGGCTCTTTGCCCTCTCCGGACGCACTTAGGGCACATATCTCTATGATTCCTAAGACGACCGACAATGTCCAGGAACCGCAAGCCTTCTGGCCCATTTCTCTTCTTAATGAAGACCTGAAGATATTGGGCAAGATCCTTAGTTTTCGCATCAATAAATATTTGTGTAGCCTGGTCCACCGGGACCAAGTAGGGTTCGTCCCCGGGAGGCAGGCGGGTGATAACGTCCGTAAGGTGGTCCATCTTATACATTTTTTGCAACAACGGAAAATCCCAGGATTCCTACTGTCCTTGGACATATATAAAGCTTTTGATTCTCTATCTTGGGAATATCTGCGGTTTGTGCTGTCTCGTTGGGGTTTTGGGGATTCTATTCTCTCTTGGATTCAGGCCTTGTATTCCTTTCCTTCGGCCTCCGTTAAATACGCTGGGTATTTCTCGGATCCCTTTCCTGTTGGGCGAGGGACGAGGCAGGGTTGCCCGCTGTCCCCGGCGCTCTTTGTCCTGGCGCTCGAGCCACTGGCTTTAGCGCTCCGGACCGATTGCAATATATCGGGGGTTCCATACGCGGACAGGAGTTTAAGCTGAGCCTCTTTGCGGACGATGCCCTCTTGACCCTTACTAATCCTCTGACGACGCTTCCTAACTTGCAACGAGTTCTTGAGCGCTTCTCCTTGATTTCGGGTCTACGTATCAACTTGGATAAAACCGTCGCTCTCAATATTACTTTGGCTTCAGATTTGCTTTCGCGCCTACAATCCCACTTCCCTTACCGGTGGGCTTCCTCTTTTCTGGAATACTTGGGCATTCGCTTGACCCCCACCTATGAATCCCTTTTTGCTGCAAATTATTATCCTTTGCTTAGCTCTTTATCTTCTCTTATGCATTCCTGGCAATTTCCGCACCTGTCTTGGATAGGACGGGTTCATTCAGTGAAAATGACCATCTTGCCGAAATTGTTATATTATTTTCGCACCCTCCCGGTGCGGGTTCCCCCTCACTTTCTTCGGTTGCTTCAGGCGAAGTTTATGCGTTTTATCTGGGCCGATAAACACCCCCAGAGTCTCTAGAAATACGCTCTTTGCTCATAGACTCCAGGGTGGTCTTGGGTACCCAATGTAGCTAAGTATTATCAGGCGAGCCAGATTGCCCCGCTGTCTATGTTGCACGCTTCCTCCGATGTTCCTCTCTGGGTCCTGCTGGAACTACCTAATTGTGCCCCTATTGCACTGTCGACACTCCTATGGCTTCCCCCTGCCCTGCGCCCTATGGCGCTGAGTCCGATGTTGCTCCATGGCCTACAAGTCTGGGACTCGGTACGTTACTCCCAGTGGCCTGATGTCACCCTTTTTGCCCTTGCTTCCAATCGTTAACAACCCTCTTTTCCCACCGGGTCTAGATTGTCCGAGGGCATTTTCTTGGTGGGTGGCTCATGGTTTCTCACAGGTGCAACACTTTTTGACTTTTCGGTCCTTTCCCACCTGGAATGTCCTTCGAGAGTCTCGGGATGTTCCCCCAGCGGAAATTTTTCGGTACCTTCAATTGCGGCACTGGCTACTTTCGCTGAGAGCCACTTCTGCTTTCCCATATCAGAAATCTGCCTTTGAATGGCTTTGCCAGCAGCACCCGGGCGCCCCGGGCCTTATCTCCCTTCTTTACGCAGCTTTGAACAGACGCTCGTCTCACACTTCTCTTTCATATGTTGTTCAGTGGGAACGCGACCTGGGAGTGGCTGTGGATCCGGAGGACTGGAGTAGGGCCTGGTCACTCATAGCTAAATGTTCATTTAATACGACCACGCTGGAAGCAGCCTACAAGGTATTGTTCCGTTGGTACTGGGTTCCGGCCTGTCTGGCCCAGGCTAACCCTGCCTGTAGTGATCGATGTTTTCGGGGTTGTGGCCATCGTGGCGATGTACTGCATATCTGGTGGTCATGCCCGAGGTTGGTTCGTTTTTGGTCTCGTGTGTTTGGCCTCCTTTTCACTTTGTTCCATCTCTCCATACGCCGGGATGCTCGGTATGCCTTGCTTCATTGCCCCATACCGGGCCTCTTGGCTCGTCAGCAGCGGTTGGCTTCATATTTGTTTTTATCGGCTACTAGGACAATTGTTCAGGCCTGGAAGAGTCCGTTTGTACTTTTCCAGGGGGTGCGGGATCGTATGACTACTATGATGCTCAACGAACAGATGTCGAGTATATGCAACGACTCTCAACATAAATTTTTGAAAGTATGGGAGCCGTGGTTGCAATACGCCTTTCCCACGCTCCCCCCGGCCAGTGTGGGGAGGTAATGGAGTTTGATATTGGCGCTCGTGGACCCCTGCTCTTTGGTTTTTTTTTTTTTTTTTTTTTTTCCTCTTTCTTCTCTGTTCTTCTCTCCTTTTCTGTTTGTTTTGATGTGACAGTGGACAACTGTCTTTAGTTGCGATAGTCAGAGTCTTACTGATGTTATTGTAACCTATGTGCCATTGATAGCCCCTGCGTGGGCATATGTTTTGCCTTAGTGGAATTAGAGCGTTGTCTGCTCTATTATGCCTTTTTTATCGGTGCAGTTGATAGCCCCTGCATGGGGGTGTTTTGTTGCCTCTGTTTTATACTGTTTAAAATTAATAAAAACCATTGAAATACAAAAGAAAGGAAAAGTTAATAAATGAATGATTTCCCACAAAGGGGATCTTTTCCAACATCAACAGAAATCCGCACACTAGAAAAAGCTGAGTCTTCTGGTTAATAAGCTCACTCAACTTACCGTATTTTTTTGCTCCATAAGACTTACCTAGGTTTTAGAGGAGAAAAAACAAGAATAAAAATATTCTGAACCAATGGACTGCAGACACAGTACAGGAGATGACCAGAGACTGCGGACACAGTACAGGAGATGACCAGAGACTGCGGACACAGTACAGGAGATGACCAGAGACTGCAGACACAGTACAGGAGATGACCAGAGACTGCGGACACAGTACAGGAGATGACCAGAGACTGCAGACACAGTACAGGAGATGACCAGAGACTGCGGACACGGTACAGGAGATGACCAGAGACTGCAGACACAGTACAGGGGATGACCAGAGACTGCAGACACAGTACAGGGGATGACCAGAGACTGCAGACACGGTACAGGGGATGACCAGAGACTGCAGACACGGTACAGGAGATGACCAGAGACTGCGGACACGGTACAGGAGATGACCAGAGACTGCAGACACGGTACAGGAGATGACCAGAGACTGCGGACACGGTACAGGAGATGACCAGAGACTGCAGACACGGTACAGGAGATGACCAGAGACTGCGGACACAGTACAGGAGATGACCAGAGACTGCGGACACAGTACAGGAATGAAACCAAACTGACTGCGTACCATAGTACAATTGAGTACAGGAGATGACCAGAGACTGCGGACTCAGTACAGGAGATGACCAGAGACTGCGGACATAGTACAGGAGATGACCAGAGACTGCGGACACAGTACAGGAGATGACCAGAGACTGCGGACACAGTACAGGAGATGACCAGAGACTGCGGACACAGTACAGGAGATGACCAGAGACTGCGGACACAGTACAGGAGATGACCAGAGACTGCGGACTCAGTACAGGAGATGACCAGAGACTGCGGACACAGTACAGGAGATGACCAGAGACTGCGGACACAGTACAGGAGATGACCAGAGACTGCGGACACAGTACAGGAGATGACCAGAGACTGCGGACATAGTACAGGAGATGACCAGAGACTGCGGACATAGTACAGGAGATGACCAGAGACTGCGGACACGGTACAGGAGATGACCAGAGACTGCAGGACACGTACAGGGATGACCAGAGACTGCAGGACACGGTACAGGAGATGACCAGAGACTGCGGACACGGTACAGGAGATGACCAGAGACTGCGGACACGGTACAGGAGATGACCAGAGACTGCGACACGGTACAGGAGATGACCAGAGACTGCAGACACGGTACAGGAGATGACCAGAGACTGCGGACACAGTACAGGAGATGACCAGAGACTGCGGACACAGTACAGGAGATGACCAGAGACTGCGGACACAGTACAGGAGATGACCAGAGACTGCGGACATCAGGAGATACAGAGATGACACAGTACAGGAGAGACTGCGGACACAGTACAGGAGATGACCAGAGACTGCGGACACAGTACAGGAGATGACCAGAGACTGCGGACATGTACAGGAGATGACCAGAGACTGCGGACACAGTACAGGAGATGACCAGAGACTGCGGACACAGTACAGGAGACAGAGACTGCGGACACACCAGGAGACTGACGGAGACTGCGGACACAGTACAGGAGATGACCAGACTGCGGACACAGTACAGGAGATGACCAGAGACTGCGGACACAGTACAGGAGATGACCACTGCGGGACAGTACAGGAGAATGACCAGAGACTGCGGACACAGTACAGGAGATGACCAGAGACTGCGGAGTACTGACCCAGAGACTGCGGATAGTACAGGAGATGACCAGAGACTGCGGACACAGTACAGGAGGATGACCAGAGACTGCGGACCAGAGACTGCGGACACAGTACAGGAGATGACCAGAGACTGCGGACATAGTCAGGAGAGACCAGAGACTGCGGACACAGTACAGGAGATGACCAGAGACTGCGGATACAGACCAGAGACTTCGGGCCAGACAGAGACTGCAGACAGGAGATGCCAAGTACGGAGATGACCAGAGGCGGACACAGTACAGGAGATGACCAGAGACAGACAGTAGGAGATGACAGGAGATGACCAGAGACTGCGGACACAGTACAGAGACTGCAGACAGTACAGGAGATGATCAGAGACACAGTACAGGAGACTGCTGGACACAGTACAGTACAGGAGATGACCAGAGACTGCACTGCCAGACACAGTACAGGAGATGACCAGAGACTGCAGACATAGTACAGGAGATGACCAGAGACTGCAGACATAGTACAGGAGATGACACAGTAGACCAGAGACTGCGGACACAGTACAGGAGATGACCGGAGACTGACGGACATAGACAGAGATGACCAGAGACTGCAGACACAGTACAGGAGATGACAGAGAGCGGGGACACAGTACAGGAGATGCCAGAGACTGCGGACACAGTACAGGAGATGACAGAGACTGCAGTAGGTACAGGAGATGACCAGAGACTGCAGACTGTACAGGAGATGACCAGAGACTGCGGTCTCCACACAGTACAGGAGATGACCAGAGACTGCGGGACACAGTACAGGAGATGACCAGAGACTGCGGACACAGTACAGGAGATGACCAGAGACTGCGGACATAGTACAGGAGACGACCAGAGACTGCAGACCATAAAGGAGATTACCAGAGACTGCTGACCTTTGGGGAGGGGGAACGGGTACCTGAATTTGACAGGTAGCCGCTCCCACTTTCACGGAGTTGTTCTTCCTTCTTCTTTCCGCGGCGGCTTCTGTGACAGCCAGGTGCCCACTGCGCATGCGCAAGAAGCACTGCACTTTGTGAATGGCCCGGAGCCTTCTGGGACCTGTCGTGTCCTTCTCACGCATGCGCAGTGGGAACCCGGCTGTCACAGAAGCCGCCATGGGAAGACTGCAGTGCTGGAGCGAGGAACAGGTAAGGTCCTGCAAGAGAGAAGAGCTGAGCGTCCCGGCTCGGTATTCTGACATGGTGGCCGCAGAAATACCGGACCGGCCGCTTTACATTCGCACCATAAGATGCACTGACATTTCCCCCCCTTTTTTTTTGGGGGGGGGGGAAGTGCGTCTTATGGAGCAAAAAATACGGTAACTTGCAGTACCTCTTCTGGATACTCGGCTCTCTAGCCTTTAGGCACAGCTCCCTGCTGTAAGGTCCATGTCTGGCCTATGGATGGGGGTCCTCCAGACAAGCCGATAGGAGCTGACCTGACTCCTGGAACTGAGACCTCTGTCTCCTGGCTGGGTCCTCTGACTCCTCGATGAGACCTTCCATATCCCACACCGGGAGTGGTCTCCAACAGCGAGCCCTGAGCTATTCTCAGATCTGAGTATATACACCTCACAGCTGTGTACTCCAGATTGCAGGTGTCTAGCAAAACCCAGACACAGGAGTGAATGTTTCCAATCCAAAGAAAGTCAAATCCGTAGCTTTCTTTGCCCAGAAACACTAAACACCCTAAATGTGAATCCTGCGTCACATTTTCCTATCTTCTCACAGTGACCGGGTCTCGTCCTGTCACAACCCTACCCTTGTTTCGCACCGGATGGAGGAACATATGAACCCTTCACTATGGTTGGGACACCTCTGTGCCATCTTGTTAGCTGCGTAGGCCCAACTCTTGTTTCCCGATATGTTTCTAGGGTCTCGCTACCCTGAATCTCAGTGGGGGCCTACAATTCTGTATATGCAGCCTTCTTCCTCTATTCTTGGGGTTCCTGAGCATATTAATTTCTCCGGGGACACATCCTACCCTGCTACTTCCTTTCAACTCACTTTCCTGTTTCTATAGGGAACCTGCTAATGACACATTTCTGACAAGGAACCACCTTTTCCCTTACTGGTACCAGTTTTAAGCATCACAGTAGGTTAGGCGCACCAACCCTTTTGTGATTACCCTTGGCACCCAACATCTTATTCAGGGAATCTCTCAGTAATGTTTCACATTTTCCAAAATTGTCAATTCCATCAGTGTTTTCTTTATCAGGGTTTGTTAGGACCAGAGCTGTGGAGGGACCACACATAGGCAAGTGAATATCCCTGCACGGGACCGTCACATAAACTCCACCTTTCCTGTTGTCCAATGCTCTGTGGGCAATTGTCCTGCCAACCGACACTGACCAAAGCATAAACCATTGCTGAAGACCATCATTCTCACTAGTTTACTTATTACAACATCACCGTCACTAGTGTCATCATTCGCAATACCAATCATTAACAGATCACTCTTTTCAATGTCACCAGTTCTGGTATCATCAGTACTGTCTTTGAGTGTCTCCAGGTATTTGCTTGTACCTCTTTGTAGGTGACTAAAAGAATCTCTGCTATTGCCGCGTCTGTTTTCACGCCCTTCCTATAAATAAGGCCGTATCCACGCCATTCACCAACAACGGCTCAGGTGCACCTCACAAGCAGAAATATCTCCAATCACCACATCAGACGGACAGACCTCCAATATCTTCATCAGCTTTCCTGAATGCTTTCCACACAAAACTAGTCACCGGAAGCACCCTCTTAGGGAACTGTTGTGGCAGCACCCACGTATTGCAGAGTTCCCCTTTAACCATTTCAATACCGTGCAATTTTCCCCCTTCCTGCCCCCAGGCCATTTTTCAGGTTTCAGCGCTCTCACACTTTGAATGACAATTGCGCGGTCATACAACATTGTACACAAACTAAAATTTTATTATTTTCTTCACACAACTAGAGCTTTCTTTTGGTGGTATTTAATCACCGCTGGGGTTTTTATTTTTTGCTAAATTAACAAAAAAAGACCAAAAATTTTGAAAAAAAAAACACATTTCTTTGTTTCTGTTATAAAAGTTTGCAAATAAATAATTGTTCATAAATTTAGGCCGAGATGTATTCTGCTCCATGTCTTTGGTGAAAATAACCCAAATTAGGATGTATTATTTATCTGTAGGAAAGTTATAGAATTCACAAACTATGGGATAGATCTGAAAATTGATCAATCCTGAAGTACTGACGGCCAATCTAATTTCTTGAGGTCCAAGAATGTCAGGACAGTACAGATATCCCCCAAATGTCAGGACGGTACAGATATCCCCCAAATGTCAGGACAGGACAGATATCCCCTAAATGTCAGGACGGTACAGATATCCCTCAAATGTCAGAACAATACAGATATCCCCCAAATGTCAGAACAGTACAGATATCCCCTATATGTCAGGACGGTACAGATATCCCCTAAATGTCAGGACGGTACAGATATCCCCCAAATGTCAGAACAGTACAGATATCCCCCAAATGTCAGAACAGTACAGATATCCCCTATATGTCAGGACGGTACAGATATCCCCCAAATGTCAGGACGGTACAGATATCCCCCAAATGTCAGGACGGGACAGATATCCCCCCAAATGTCAGGACGGGACAGATATCCCCCCAAATGTCAGGATGGGACAGATATCCCCCCAAATGTCAGGACGGGACAGATATCTCCCCAAATGTCAGGACGGGACAGATATCTCCCCAAATGTCAGGATGGGACAGATATCCCCCAAATGTCAGAACAGTACAGACATCCCCCCAAATGTAGAACAGTACAGACATCCCCCCAAATGTCAGAACAGTACAGACATCCCCCCAAATGTCAGAACAGTACAGATATCCCCCAAATGTCAGGATGGTACAGACATCCCCCAAATGTCAGAACAGTACAGATATCCCCCAAATGTCAGAACAGTACAGATATCCCCCAAATGTCAGAACAGTACAGATATCCCCCAAATGTCAGGACAGTACAGATATCCCCCAAATGTCAGCACGGTACAGACATCCCCCAAATGTCAGGACAGTACAGATATCCCCCAAATGTCAGGACAGTACAGATATCCCCCAAATGTCAGGATGTTACAGATATCCCCCCAAATGTCAGGACAGTACAGATATCCCCCGAATGACCCCTTTTTGTAAAATAGACAGTCCAACGTACTTCATAAGAGGCATGGCGAGTTTTTTTTGTCATTTTTTGGAAAATGAAAAAATTAAAAAAATTATTTTCACAATTCTTTTTTTTTACATGCTGTCATCAGTGCAGTACAGCGTCATCATATAACTGGCATGGCGGTGAACAGGGACACTGACTGGTGACAGTATGAAAAAAAATATATATATATATATATATTTTTTTTTTTATTTAATTTTTTTTTTAAAGATTTTTTTTTTTTCATATTTCACTATGACCAAAGTAGTACAATGTTACCATAGTAACATTATACTACTTTAGGGAAGTGATCAGTTTTTTTTTTTTTTTTACACAATTTGCTTTTTTACACAATTTACCTGAATGACATCGATTCATTCAGGGTTTTTTTTTTGTGCTTAGCTGTGATTTGGCCACAGCTAATCACATGATATGTGCATGTGATTGCTGTGACCATTCACAGCTAGACACTAGTATACAATGGATGGCATGAATGAAGCCATCCATTGTATACAACTGTCATGTGACCTGCTGTGATTGGTCACAGTAGGTCACATGGTACCGGCAACGGGAGCCGGTACTCAGATCTGTCATCAGCTGTGTCTGAGGTACACGGCCGGTGACAGATCGCGCGGCTCTGCAAGTGTGAAAACTGCGCATGTGCTGGAGGAGGACGCCAAATGGTGTCCACCCTGGAAATTTAGTGGATTTTTGCGGCCGCCAAGCGGCCATTCGCCGGGCGGCAAATGGTTAATCTCTACAGTTTGTAAAGCATCTGTTTGTAGAATCAATCCACCCGCTCGCTTTCTCCCCCTCATTCCCTGTGGACAGTCTCTCCTAGTTTAGCAGCTGACACCCTGAACATTCAGTTAGTGATAGTTCCACAAAATGTAAAAACCACAAGACTGTGTCCTGTTTGCTGCTCAGACTATGTCAAAGGTCTAACAAAGCGAGGAGGAGATACAGTATATGCATTTGTGACGTCATTTTTGAAATCTATACCCTGTAAGATGCTTTTTAAATGACTTGGCTTTGCAGGCATGAGCCCGGCTGAGTCCCAGCTGGTTAACCGCTTTACGCCGGCCGCACCAAATGTGCGTCTGACCTAGACGCCGAGCGGCCGCACATTTGCGTTCATGTAACAAAAAAGCGGGGCGCGCGCTCTCAGCACACATGTGCGGTACTCACGGAAGTTTCCCGGTCAGCTCTTTCGATCGGGACCTTTCCCTTATCATAGACATGGAGGGGCTTGTGCAATGCAGCTTGAGTGATTGAGACATTCAACCACCTCCCGCCCGCCATATAGTCCAATGACTGGCGCAAGGCGGTTCTCTCGTTCTGGGAGGAGTCATATGACGTCATCCCATTCTCACCGCGCATGTGCGGCTCAGGGAGCTCGCTGCGATCGGCGGTGCGCTGTGTACCTCGGACACAGCGGATCACCGATCCACGGAAAGAGGCGAAGATGTCGGCTCGGTCATGTGATCAGCTGTGTCCAATCCCAGCTGATCACATGTAAACAGGGAAATGCTGGTTATCGGCATTTCTATCCTCACGAGCTGTCACGGTGACAGAGGAGAGGAGAGCCGGTAATCGGCATTCCTCGGAGGGGACATGTACACTGATCATCAGAGCACTCATGGTCAGTGTAGCCCCAGCAGTGCCACCTGTCAGTGCTCATCCATGACACCTGCCAGTGCCACATTAATGCCACATATCAGTGCCCATCTGAGCTGCCTTTCAGTGCCACCTATCAATGCCAGTCAGTGCCGCCTGTTAGTGCCAGTCAGTGCCACCTATCAATGCCCATCAGTGCCACCTAACAGTGGCAGTCAGAGCTGCCTATCAGTGCCATATATCAGTGCTGCCTTTCAGTGATGCCTGTCAATGCCCATCAGTGCTACCTACCAGTGCCTCCTCATCAGTGCCCATCAGCACCACCTATCAGTGCCCATCACTGCAGCCTCATTAGCGCACATCAGTGAAGGAGAAAAATCACTTATTTACAAAATTTGTAACAAAAACTAAAACATTTTTTAAAAATTTCAGTGGTTTTTGGTTTGTTTGAGAAAAAATAAAAACCCCCGAGGTGATTAAATACCACCAAAATAAAGCTCTATCTGTCACAAAAAAATGATAAAAAATTCAAATGGGTGCAGTGTTGCATGACCGCGCGCAATTGTTATTCAAAGTGTGAAAGCTGGAAATTGCTCTGGGCAAGAAGGGGGTAGAAGTGCCTGGTAGGTAGGAAGGGGGTAGAAGTGCCCTGCAGGCAAGAAGGGGTTAAAAAGAAGTGCCCGGTAGGCAGGAAGGGGGTAGAAGTGCCCTGTAGGCAGGAAGGGGGTAGAAGTGCCCTGTAGGCAGGAAGGGGGTAAGAAGTGTCCGGTAGGCAGGAAGGGGTAGAAGTGCCCTGTAGGCAGGAAGGGGGTAGAAGTGCCCTGTAGGCAGGAAGGGGGTAGAAGTGCCCTGTAGGCAGGAAGGGGTAGAAGTGCCCTGTAGGCAGGAAGGGGTAGAAGTGCCCTGTAGGCAGGAAGGGGTAGAAGTGTCCTGTAGGCAGGGAGGGGGTAGAAGTGCCCGGTAGGCAGGAAGGGGGTAGAAGCGCCCTGTAGGCAGGAAGGGGGTAGAAGTGCCCTGTAGGCAAGAAGGGGGTAGAAGTGCCCTGTAGGCAGGAAGGGGGTAGAAGTGCCCTGTAGGCAGGAAGGGGGTAGAAGCTCCCGGTGGGCAGGAAGGGGGTAGAAGTGCCCGGTAGGCAAGAAGGGGGTAGAAGTGCCCGGTAGGCAGGAAGGGGGTAGAAGTGCCCTGTAGGCAGGAAGGGGGTAGAAGCGCCCTGTAGGCAGGAAGGGGGTAGAAGTGCCCTGTAGGCAAGAAGGGGGTAGAAGTGCCCTGTAGGCAGGAAGGGGTAGAAGTGCCCTGTAGGCAGGAAGGGGGTAGAAGTGCCCTGTAGGCAGGAAGGGGGTAGAAGCGTATATTAAGATAGTTATTTAAGAGGTGTTATTGAATAAATTAGCGTGTCACCCAATGTATGGTCTCCATTCAGTAGCCAAAAGAGGCATACAAAAAAGGGGGGGTTTGTGAAAAGAGATTCACAGAAAAGCGGCTACATAGTGAACAGAACGTGACACACAGGAAGAAATTTCCAAAAATATGCTTTATTACACATATAAAAATATGACATATGGGCTTTCGCCCTGGTTTACCATCACCTCAGTTGAGACAATACACACAGACCTAAAACCATTTTAAAATGACACCAGAACCGGTCTAAATGTATGTGCAGCAGGGAAAATGGCTACAAGAGTCTAGTGTCCCCTGCAGCACAAACACACAAGCGAACACTTCCCTAGGGAGGTGTATCCAAAAATTATACTATAGATATGTATGTCACATGTATACAATACAGCAAGCACAATATGCGTCAAAAAGGAGAATAGCAGGCCTCAGGCCTGTATGAAAGAAGACATAAATGTCAAATATATTATACAATACATTCCTGTGCCGGCACAAGTGGTTGGGGCCCATTCATCTGTAATATAGATAGCTGTTTCCTAGAGCTCTTGGATGGGAATATGCCCCATTTATTTCCAGGATGGAGGAAAAGATGCACAAAGCAGCACTCTGCTTGAAGTGGTTTCTTCACCACTATATGTGGACTATACACCACTTTTGTAGGAAAAGACAAGACACATCCCAAAGACTCTTCTGCCTGTTGAAATATATATGGTTGGTATATCTTGTATCCTATACAACGCACCATGATGTCCCCATCCTGTAGTGAAACAAACAATGTGTGGGAAGTCACTGACAGAGCTAACACTCTATAGAAGATATATAGGTCATATAGATCACAGAGGACCATATATCTAATGTCCTGTAACAATCCACTCACCACCTGTGCTATGGATAACAGGGATGAAAGAGAAGTCCTTCATAGGTACTGCCATACAGGGCCAAGGCGGCCAAGGAACCACCGCTGACATCCGCCGATATACCGCGGGTTCCAGCCCCTTCTCGGCGCTTGTGCTGCTTAAGCTTGCCTCATGGCATGTGAAGATGGCTTCCTCCTTATGGGTCAGCGTGCGTTCCACCTAGTGCGCATGACCGGAAGTGACGTATCTGACGTAATGACGTCAACGCGTTTCGCCGATGGGCGTATCTCACTCAGCTTCGTCAGGACCAATGAAACAACCGCATTTCAATTTTCTATTTTATAGTGGGTAAAGACCCACCCATTTATGCAAAAAACCCAACCTGCAGTTATTCCTAATGGAAGAAAGAGAGGGCTAAATACTTAGCACAGCTGCTGGTCATTGTTGAATATAATTAAAAAGACAGACATCTGGAGACAACAGAGGGGAGAGGCTTTAGCAATTTGGACGGTGCATATATTGATAAAAAAAAACAGAATTAAATATAATCGTCAACTAAAGCACCCATCACACTCTAACCAGAAGATGGCGATATTAATCAGAGAATCAACAAGTCTATCCACTGAGTCTAATTGTCAAAAAAAAACCCATATAAATTACCATAACATACCACAAGATGGCAATATAACCTGAAGGTTCTCATTAAGGGTTATTTCCACGAAAATACCCCAATTTTTAAATATCCATCCTATGGTATGATTATTATTAAAGAAAGAAGGTACATAGGAAAAAATTAACTCAGCATTCAATCCTAATACATTTTGTTTGGAGCTATATTTAAACTCATAGCTTTAAGATCATCCATATTATTTAAATTGTTTCCGTATACATATATACTTTTTTAAGGATTAAGTGACATAAAGTCCACCTATTTGTGAAAACAAAAATTCCACAAATTAACCACCACATAGCAATAATGAGGTACATGGCTATAACTATTTTTCCAAAAATACTTGGAGATCACATTCCACATTTAACCCCTTAGGGTGCAATGTATCAAGTTTATATATCCAATTTTCCTTTTTTCTTTTTTTATTTTTCCTTTTTAAGCAGTTCTCTGTCAAAATCACCTCTCCTCTGTGGAAAGTGCAGTGCATAGAAACCTTTCACTTTCGTACCATCCAATTTACCTCCATGATATTTAACGTAATGTTGGGCAAGATTACTGTCAGGTTCATTTGATCTAATGTCTCTAAGATGTTCACCTATTCGTACTTTAAGTTGTCTTTTGGTCTTACCTACATACATCTTTTTACAGGGACAGGTTAAGATGTATAACACACTCACTGTAGAACAATTTATGAGACTCTGAATTTTTATAGTGAGTATTATTTCCTGAATCATGAAAGGAATCCGTACGATCCACGTATTTGCAAATTTGACATTTTCCACATTTAAACATCCCTTTGGTACGTGATTTTAACCATGTTGTTTGTTTTAATGGTTGATAATCTGAATGAATAAGGAGATCACCAAGATTTGGTGCTCTTCTCGCTACCATCTGGGGGCGTTCGCCTACAATCTTACTCAATCTGGGGCATTGAGTTAAAATCTTCCAATGTTTTTCTAATATCAGTTTTACATCTTGCCATTGGGCTCCAAATTGGGTTATCATTCTAACAGGTTGATCACTCAACTTGGCCTTCACATCCTTTTTGGAAGATAGTAAATCCTCGCGGTCAGTTTGATATGCCCGTCTCCGAGCATTTCTAATTTGGGAATGGGAATATCCTCTTTCCCTAAATCTTCTATAGAGGTCCTGAGCCTCCATCCTAAAGTCATTGATGTTTGAACAATTTCTCTCCGACATCTCAAAAACTGTCCCACTGGAATCCCTGAAATCAGTGAACGCGGATGATAACTTCTTGCCTCTAATAGGGTGTTGGCAGCAGTGGGTTTCCTATACGTCTTTGTAAGGAGTCTTCCATTCTCAACTCTAATCTCCAGATCCAGAAAAGAGATACATCTTTCATCAAAAATATATATGTAAGTCCAATGTTAAAGGAGTTCTGATTAAGCTCTCCCAAAAACAATTTTAATTCCTCAGATGTTCCTCGCCATACAAGGAACACATCATCAATATATCTTAACCAGATCTGGACATTTGCAAGAAATCTTGATGATCTAAATACAACCCACTCCTCCCAAAACCCTAAATGGAGACATGCATAGGCCGGAGCCCACGGTGCTCCCATACTGGTGCCTCTAGTCTGTTGATAAAAGGTATTGTTAAATTGGAAAAAAATTATGTTTTAATGCAAATTCCAATAGCTCACTAATAAACTCATTCTGTCCCCCCGACATAGGATATGTTCTGTCAAGAAAATAAGAGACTGATCTCACACCACATTCATGTGGGATAGAGGTGTAAAGTGATTCCACATCTATTCCCACTAGAATGGAATTATCGTTGATAATCATATTCTCAATTTTCGCCAAACATCTTTGGTATCCCTTATATAAGAGGGAAGGTTAGGGACCATGTCTTTAAGAAACAAATCTATATATTTCCCTGTTTTGTCTAGGGGACCATTGATGGCTGACACAATAGGTCTACCCGGAGGATTTTCCTGATTTTTGTGTATTTTGGGGATAATGTAGAAAGTAGGGTGATTAAATTCTTCAGTTCTCAGATACTCATATTCTTTTCTAGTTAACAGACCAGCTTCCTTTCCTAATGTTAAGATGGAATTTAGTTTTTTAGCCACCATATGAAAAGGATTCGTAGTCACTTTCCTATATGTGGATGAGTCACTCAATAGACGCTTCACTTCCCTGACATAATTTTGTTCATTCAGAATCACTACATTACCCCTTTGTCACTTCTCTTAATAACAATATCCTTGGTCTCTTTTAGTTCTTTGAGGGCTTTTCTTTCTTTTTTGGTAAGGTTATCACCAATTGGCATTTTCCACTCAAGGTTTTTCAAATCATCAGCAACAAAGTCTAGAAACGTCGATATCCTCATATTGGAACGGATTTTCGGCATTTTCGTCGATCTAATATTTAGATCAACCTTTCTAATTATATTGCTACAATTATCAAGGTCATCACCATCACC